TCTTCTTCACCTGTCCATCGAGTCACTTCGAGTCACTTCCTTCCCACTTGTCATTCGAGTGCCGCCAAATGCGGCAACAACGGCGGCGGCGTCGCCTCTGGTGATGCAGCCGCCGGCGGAGCTGTAGTCCTCTTCTTCACCTGTCCATCGAGTCACTTCGAGTCACTTCCTTCCCACTTGTCATTCGAGTGCCGCCAAATGCGGCAACAACGGCGGCGGCGTCGCCTCTGGTGATGCAGCCGCCGGCGGAGCTGTCGTCCTCTTCTTCACCTGTCCATCGAGTCACTTCGAGTCACTTCCTTCCCACTTGTCATTCGAGTGCCGCCAAATGCGGCAACAGCGGCGGCGGCTTCGCCTCTGGTGATGCAGCCGCCGGCGGAGCTGGCGTCCTCTTCTTCACCTGTCCATCGAGTCACTTCGAGTCACTTCCTTCCCACTTGTCATTCGAGTGCCGCCAAATGCGGCAACAGCGGCGGCGGCGTCGCCTCTGGTGATGCAGCTGCCGGCGGAGCTGGCGTCCTCTTCTCCACCTGTCCATCGAGACACGTCGAGTCACTTCCTTCCCACTTGTCATTCGAGTGCCGCCAAATGCGGCAACAGCGGCGGCGGCGTCGCCTCTGGTGATGCAGCCGCCGGCGGAGCTGTAGTCCTCTTCTTCACCTGTCCATCGAGACACGTCGAGTCACTTCCTTCCCACTTGTCATTCGAGTGCCGCCAAATGCGGCAACAGCGGCGGCGACGTCGCCTCTGGTGATGCAGCCGCCGGCGGAGCTGGCGTCCTCTTCTACACCTGTCCATCGAGACACGTCGAGTCACTTCCTTCCCACTTGTCATTCGAGTGGCGCCAAATGCGGCAACAGCGGCGGCGGCGTCGCCTCTGGTGATGCAGCCGCCGGCGGAGCTGGCGTCCTCTTCTCCACCTGTCAATCATCCTCATCCCCCACGTGTCGCTACGAGTGGCGACGGTGCGGGGGTGACGGTTGTGGCGGCGCCGGTGATGGATGCGTTGGCTTACGATTTGGCATTGGCGTTGGCGGGTGATGCGGTTGCGTAGGTTGTGGCAGTTGTGTCGGATGTGGCGGCGGTGGCGGCTGCTG